TTAATCAATATGGTCAAAAACTTCAATTAAATTTTATTTTTTCTATATATTTGTTTTTTTTTTTGTTACCTAGAAACGTATCCCCTATAATCCTATATAAATTAGCATTCCATATTCATGGTTTCTGTATTCGCGGCATATTTACGGAACATATAATAAAGAGCTTTAACTATAGTACGACCTGAAAGGCAAGTAACAATAGTCAAACAAAAAATATTGGGCATTGTAAATTTATTGTGCAATTTTGTTTCTCATAATGATAGGATTTATTATATTATTCTAATGAAAATGTTGGTATAATAATTGCTTATATTTACGTGAATACTACATAGTGATTAGCAGTAACTAATTTTAATTTCTTTAACTTCCTAATTTACATTTACTAGATGCAAGAGTTACAAGCTTGTTTGTTAATGAGACCTCTTTTACAGAGAACACACAAAAAAGATTAAAAACCTGCTTAAAAGAATAACAAAATAGGCTATATATATGATGCTTCAGGAAGTTTGCAGTATGTGAACATATTCAGGATCGGCTCGACCATCAGCATCAGATTCCTGAGACCACTAATCCTCGAAATAGCTATTTAAATTAAACAAAAAAAAAAACATCCTAATTTCGATAGAGAAGATGTCTGAGTACTATTATTTGCTTAGCATTGCATAATTAATAAAATTAAATCCAAACCCAAGCCACTGAAGACTATAGGTGCTACAAAGTATGTGAAACGTAATAAATTAAAAAAAAATAAAATTAAACTCGATAATTTTTTATATAGTATAAGGGTGACAAATAAACACACTAAATGATAAAAGAAAAAGATAAGTATAGAGATATATTTGTATGTGATTTAAGTATCTATGAGATAATCAACTATTAAAAGTAAGCCCGGAGATCTTGTCTAGGTAATGATTTTTTTTATCGAATAAGGATGACAAACAAGCACACAGCCTGCCTGATTGTAAGTAGATGCTGTGGCCTATAGACATCTACATTTATCCTCTATTGAGAATCAAAACGCAGATACATTGTCAACCCTGAGGACTAAGATGGAATACCTCGTTTCCAGTAAAAAGGGTCTCCGGATCTCTACACTCACCATACGAAACACAGCAGCATTAAGCTGTTATTTTACGTTGGTATTCTGTGAGAGCGTGGTCCTTCCCCGGTCGAGCCGACCCATTCGTGCTACAACTATAATATAGCTGCAGCGTGCCTCTACCACGTGTAAAACTACATAAGAAATCCGTAACATCAGTTGAATTCGTGAACGTGAAATTTTTCCATTACAAATTACTCTTAACTTTTCTGTTTAAATTTATTTTACAGTCATAAATCAACCTTCTTTCGACTCTCTCTTCAAGAGATGAGTAATGTGTGGATGTGAGATTTTTTGTAAATCAAGTTTTGTAGATCACAGTCCGACAAGGCGAAAAGTAAGTTGTTTCACAACTGGTGAAATTTTTATTACACGTATGAATGTTAAAGATTAATCGCTGTTGATAATGGGGATAATTATGCTATTCTTAAGCTTACATGAAGTAAATATCCATCAGTTTTATGAGAAATTTTCAAGAAAAAATAAATTTAACAACCGCATTATGTAATTTTTTGACATATAGTACGTGAGGGTAATATGGTCATCCGGTTAATATGGGCAGTTTCTTATAACTCAGAAACTTCAGAAGAAGCTGAAGAATAAAATAATAAAGGGTCAAAAGGACTCTGCTTTTTCGACACCATTTTAAAAGTTGATATTATAGTAAAGAATTTAGTCCATTAGTATTGTGTAGTGCAGTTAATTTTTTTTATAGAACAAGGGTTATAAACGAGCACACAGTCCACCTGATGGTAAGGGATTGCTGTGGCCCATAGACATCTACATTTATCCTCGGTTACAAATGATACCGCAGATGTGTTGTCACTAGTCACCCGTGAGTACTAAGATGGGATGCCTCGCTTCCAGTAAAAAAGAGTCTCCTTATCTCTACACTCACCATACGATTCACAGGAGTATTAAACTGCTATTTTACGCTGGTATTCTATGAGAGCGTGGTTCTTCCCCGGTCGAGCCAACCCATTCGTGCTACAACCATAATATAGCTGCAGCGTGGCTCTGCCACGTATAAAGTTTAGTTTTTTTTTTCAAGTGATTTTCCTAATTTTTGCAAATGCTTTTTTGTTATTTTTATTTAAATATAATAGTTATAGTATAAGAATTTGTATTTTATTCTCCTCCCAGTTTTGGTTTTATAGGGCGACAAAGCTTAAGATGTCCATATTACGCTCACGTATCTTCCTATGCAATTGCTTACAAAGCTCATACTATTAAAGACAACTTTTTGCATTCTGTTACTTAAATATAAAATAATTAATTTAAGGACATCACTTTTTACATCGTAGTTTTGAAGTTTCCTGATTAACGTTTCACGGTGAACACAATCGAAGGCTTTGGATAAATCACAAGATAGCATCCTGTGAATTCTTCAATGCATTTAAGATATATTTATCAGCTCAAGACCATGACCATCGTTAGTTTATGAAAATATTAAAAATTAATACAGAAAATCTTAAATTTTACATGCGATTTTTATATAATATTTAAATTACGTCTAGGTTATTACTTTATAAATGATGCTGTGAATGAAGAAACAAGTTTTATTAGAAGATACAGAACAATTTAATCATAGACATCTTTATGGAGTCACAGCAATAGGGAATAAAGATAAAATAATTACGACTGCAAAAGCACCCGAATGAAAAGCTTACTTCATGTATCAGTATGAGAGACAGACAAAACTAACTACATATATAATATTATAGTTTTTAACATTTAATTATTTTTTATTATTTAATATACTGAGGAATTCGTTATATATCCAAATATTGACACCATGAAATAAATTGTTAAGGGCTATAAATTTTTTGTAAGTGTAGTGATATAGTCGAATACATACCTATTACAGAACAGTTGTCAGAACCTTAATACAAATCTATTAGAATCAAGCGAGACCCAGTTCCTGGTAAAGTATTTAGACACGTCTAAATTTATTCGAACTAGCTTCGCACTCGATTCTCTGACAATGAACTCTTATCGAATAAACAATCGATCACTCAACGCGACCTGGCGCTCGTCTCTCAACGCTGGCCGCGGCGGATCGTAAATCGATATTTACCGGCTTAAAGTACAAGACTAGTTGTAGTAAGTTACTCGAATTTAACGATCGTTTCTGTAATCAGGTGATTTCAAGTTTAGAATCAACAAATGTAAAAGCAAGAAAAGGAAACTGGCTTTTGATCCACTTCTTACTACACTGATCTAGTTTTATTGATGTTAATATCAAGGAGAATAAATAGATTTATAATTATAATTAGACATTTTTATTGTTATTTACAGCGTTTAAGTGATGTTGCATTAAAAAGTCAGAAAGTTGATCTAGAAATGAGAAAATATGTTATTTCTTATTAATATGTTTATAATTTTATTACTCAACTTTTTTATTTTAAATTTAACTATTTTATAGAATAAGGTTACAAGAATCGTGCACATAGTCCAACTGATGGTGACATCTATCCCCGATTGAGAATCAAAATGCATATGCGTTGTCACTCCTGAGGACTGAATTGGAATGCGTCATTTCCAGTAAAAAAGAGTGTCCAGTTCTCGATTCTCAGCACACGAGCAGCATAACACCGCTATTCTGTACCTTTCACCGGTCGAGCCAACCCATTCGTACTGCAACTATAATATAGCTGTAGCGTGGCTCTACTACTTGTAGATGTAGGTTGACTTGTAAAGAAAGCCCTTCAGAACTAAGACCGAATGCCTTGTTTCCAATAAAACGGAACCCCGTTTCTCTAAACTCTACACGAAACACATCAGTATTGGGCTGCTATTTTACGCTGGTATTCTTTGTCCTACTCCGGTAAAGCCGACTCAATTGCACCGAAACCATAATGTAGCTGCAACGTGACTTTACCGCGTGTTGAACTGAATAAAATAGTCAACAATACTAATTCTCACTACTCCATGGGTTGACTGGTAAAGAATGGTTGACATTAAGTCCGCACTTCGTTTCTTTTTGTAAAGGAAATGCAATGAGGCATAAATAAATTAAAAATTAACTAAAAAAATCGAAATTAAACATCTATCTTCATTTTAGTAGTAGTAGACTCTAAGTTTTTTAATGAATAAGGGTGACAAACGATCCATTAAAGGGTCAAGACCAGCATTGAGTCGACCCATTCGTGCTACAACCATTATACTGCATGACCTATTATACCGTCTGGAATAAATTGGGTGTAACATGTGAACCGTAGGCAGTGATATTTTACAAAAAAGTAAAAACAAAAATTATGCATTAGATAAATAAATAAATTAAAATCTATCGAAATTCAAATCATATCCACCCTACTTTATGAACGGCAATAAAACAATAAATTTAGTAGGCATCTTTGACCTTGTCACTTCGCAGGGTCGCAGGCTCAAGGGCAAAGGGAAAAGTAATTTTCTAACGTTTAATTCAAAATTTTAGTTTTTATTATTTGTAAAATATCAGTGACATAGGCTTCTACTCCGTTCACATGTTATCAATTTTTTCCAGATAGTAAAAGACACAGAACTCGTAATATTATTATCTGTGGTAAAAATTTATATTAATCATAGTTTTTTTTTGTATAGGGTAACTCACTAGCTTAGATAATCCCGTATAAGTATTGCAATGTAACATTCATGTGCTGAGTAAATAGAATTAAAAAAAAATATTCTTAACATTACTCGTTCGATAAGTTTGTTCTTTCTATATCACGTAAAATTGATAACTGACATGGACGAACCTTTCTAGTCAAAATAATGTGTGTGTTCAAAATATATAAATATAAAAACATACATTACTGTGATGGTAGATTTTATATGTATATTCTTCGCTCCTACGTAGGCTTTAACTTGTTGTTATTATTGTTTTGTTTTAATTATTTCTTAATATGTTATTAAATAACAGGGCGTCCGGCAGCGCAGTGATTCTAGACCCGCGCATGGTTTGCAAGAAAAATCGACGGACGCGAGGACGCTTGGCGCAGATTTGCAAGAACGAGACGGGTTTGCTGAAGGAAATTACCAAGGGCGTGACCCTTGGAGCCACAGAGTGCGCATATCAGTTTAGGAATCGAAGGTGGAACTGCACCACTCAGAGACGCAGTATGAGGAAAATACTGGTGAGAGGTTAGTAGGTACCTTATCGAAATCATTATTTTTAATATTTCTCATAGTTTATTTTGAGCGTATTTAACGGCAAAGAACTGCCTAAAGTTGCTCTCTCTCTCTCTCTCTCTCTCTCTTTTGACTAAATGACAATAGAAAAAGACAGGTATAGAGATCTTTTATATATAATTGAAGTATTTATGCGATAATCAACTATTAAAAGTAAGCCCGGAGGTGGTGTCTCTAAGTAATGATTTAGATGTCAATTAAATAAATTATGTAATGCATAATATCGTGGAGAAGTATCGTGGAGAAGATTAATTTATAAGTTTAATAGCGCGATAGCTATGCATTTGACTGTGGCGTTAGGTGATCGCGTGTCCGAATATCACAGGATATAAGTATTTGTATAGCACACACATAATTGTTTCGGGTCTGGATGTTGTTTGTATGAAAATGCCCTCACGATACAGGACAAAATCTAGGTGTGGATATACTGTTTTCTTTAATCGAAAACAATTCAAATGAAAAACCATTTTAATTACCACTTACTTCATTTTTACGGAATAAAATGTTTCATTAAAAGTACAGATTTTACAAGATTTTTTGCGCTCGCTGGATTATACTTGTGTAGGAGTTCCTTCATAGACACCGCCATAATGATCCATATGAGAATCATCACATCGTCAGTTTTTCACAGACTGTTCTAGAAATGAACCATCTACGCATTTTTATCAGATTTGCCTAGTGACGATGCTTCTTATCACAATTATATCAAATTTCGATTTAGCAGCTTTGTAATTAGTTAACAAGTTAAGGAAGCCTTGTCTGTCACTCAAAAAGGTGCACCAAGGGCTGGAAGTGGTGCATCTAATTTAAAAAAAGGCTACAGATGTAATGTCAACTATTTGGACTAAAACAGAATTCCTCAGTCTCTAAATATACTGGCTCTTTATACACTGAAACACATAAGTGCAAACACTGCCATTTGGTGGCAGAAATAGATAAGAGGGTCTCCTGAATAAAACACGTCTGGGTTTTGATTATTAATCCAGGATAAATGTAGATGTCTATAGGCCACAGCATCCACTTACCATCAGGTTGACAGTCTGCTCTTTTGTCACCTTTATTCTATAAAAAATAAACGTACCCAGACTGACTCTTGGCAGAAAAGAATTTGGTATCTTAAATGGAATGGTTCATTTTATTAGTAGGAAATTATATCCTATAACTAAATGATAATTATCCTCATAACAAAAAAGAAATCAGAGGCCCAAGAGCTACAGAAAATAATAATTAATTGATTTAATAATGCATAAAAAATCATCAAAACGCTTATAGAAGGAAAGGCAAGAGTAAATTTTAGAATTGCCTTCGCGCGGACATGCCTCCCGCTGTGTTGACCTTAATTTTCAATGTTTATGGATAACAAATTATATGATAATATTATAACACATACCTATATTCATAAAAGCATTGAGTCACGTAAGTTTGTCCTCTTAAATTATTTATTGTAACAAATATTCTATTTAAGAGCAATCAACGCAAAAGTTCAACAATCAATAGATTTATCGGAATTGCCTCGATGAGTTCATCAACATTTAGGATGTCGTAAAATGTGGGCAGGGGTTTGCTACCTGCCAGGTTTATTAGTCCATGCACAAAAGAATCCAAAACGTGTTAAATTGCACAGATGAATATCGGAGCCTAATTCGATTAGCCCAAAAGCGTTGATTTTTATTCGAACGCTCGTTTATCTAAATGTTCACTTTATAGAGATGGCATGCTAAACGACTTATCGATATTTTGACTATTAAAAGAATAAAGTAGAGTAAAGTTACAACCTATATACGTCCCACGGCTGGACACAGCCTCCTCTAATTTCCGAGAGGGTTTTAGTGCAAGGAAGTGTCCGCTGCGCTGCGCCGCCTCTATGCGTGTTGGCGAACTTCACATGTCTTTGAAACATTTTTTTCTTATTTCTCAGACATGCAGGTTTCCTCACGATGTTCTCCTTCACCGCCGAGCCCGTGGTAAATCAGCACTTAAAATTGCAATGAACAATTTTATTGTTGTCGCCACGGCGGAAATGGAACCTAAGTTGCTTGCGTGCTGTGAAATTTACAGTTACCGCTCACCATCTGAGCTACCACGGCTCATTAGAAGAATAAAAGTTTTTATTTTTTTTAATATTTAATTCATGGGGCAGAATGATTGGTGAGCGTAGTATTTATACTTTTGCATTCAATAGCGTGTTTATGGTCACCAGAATCTTGTACGATAGTTAGCATACCTCGGTCGAGGTTGGTATTTAAAGAAATTGTTACATCCGTTTTACACTCGTATATTCTTCTTAAAACATTTTGCGATTACAATTCTTTTATTCGACTATCGCCTTTTTTGTGGACGATGCTTATAACGTTTATATAATGTATATAGAATCGGTACTAACGCAACGTAAAATGTAGAGTTAGCATGTGTGGTATTGATAATAAAAATATACTCAAAAAGTTAAATTTCTAATAATTGACAAGGCGCATCGATTTTATCGATATTTTATCAGACAGTACAACACTTAACGATTTAAGAACGACCACCATTCGTTGTCGACGTGCATTCATTTCAGATTCATTAGTGTGAATTAAGTGGTATTTGTCAAAAATTCGGTCGCAAGTGCAAAATATTTATAAACGTTTATTTTTTTTCCTTTGTGGGCACATTTTTTTAGGAAGCTTATATATTTCGGTGAAAATATCTATAATACTTGTCAAGTATTTTACCAGACAATATTAAATGACAGCACTTTTTTACAACTTAAATTTTTGGGTTATCGCTACCCATTTGGATAATGTAAATGTACATTAATTAAGTGTTTTATGGCTCAATAGGTAGGTAATATCTTAAGTTAAAAAATTTTGCGTGGGCGTTTTTAATACTGTTTTATTTCATTTTATTTATATATTATTTGTATATTAAAATTTATATCATTTATAGGATCAACATTCCATTTTTATACCTTGGTTGAAGCATCCACTCGTTTTTAGATTTAAATGAGATGTAGCTATTTCACTCCAAGATTTAATTTAAATGATGCAATTGATCAATTTAAGGTCAAGTCTCAAAATTGTTAAATGATGATAATATGAAGCTGCCAAATTAAACCTTAAAATTGTCAACGTGTGTTTTCAAATTTCATAGCATTAACCAGTTACAATTCGATTTATATATTTAACATATAAAAAACTTACATCAACGGAAGTAATCGGTGAAAGTTTAATAGAACGATGTCAGAAATAGTAATTAAATAAATTTCTCAAGCTACGAAATAAATTCAAGGCAATATAAATAAAAATATGCTGTTGATATGTATGTTTGAGGTCGCGAAATTAATCAACTTGGGTTCTTGAAAAAAAGTCGGTTAAAAATTCATCATCATTATTATCACACATTCCTCATTAAAATTCTCATCTGGGGTTCAATAAGGAGGAAGTTCAAGTCGCCTCTCTGAAACCTTGAGTTCCGTGTACAATAATGCTGTAAAGCCGTCTTTGATAACACGGTTAGATTAAGATCAAATCGTAAAATTCTCATATAATTTCAATTATGTAGCCACGAACTGCCGTGTGGTGGCCGCATAAGATAATCTACTATCCCTTATCATCCCTTTTATAAGAGGCAATTGGGAAATATGAGATGAGCAGCATCATCTTCACAATAACGACTCAAAAATGATAAAAAAACTGCGGCTTAAAATCCGCCCACCAGGCGTGGAAACTATGGCAGATATCTTCGCTATCGTCCATATTTGTCTATTTTCAGTAGTGGTCCCTGCATCGGTTGTAATAAATGAAAAAAATAACAATCAATTCCACAAACATAAGTTGTTTAGTTCTGTATTCAAGTAATATCTCTTGTCTATACATATAGCGGTCGTGGAAATGACTGTTGATCACATCCCTGGATGGGATTGGGTTTACCTGACAATATATTCTAAGTACCAACCCAGAGGCAGGAGGCTGGCGGTATTTTACTCGCATGCTTTGGAAAGAACGTAAAGCCGTTGGTTCAGCGCCTGATCTTTCTCCCGTCGTGTCGGTTTGCGTCGAATGGAGAGGTGTGTATTATAGTATAGTAGTATCCGTAGAAAAATTCGGTTTAGAGGCAATTGTTATTATTCTAAATTAAAAAAAATACAATAGTGAAGTCGCCTTGTCTACACAAAATTATTTGAATTATGAAAGATACTTTATATTTTTACAAAGTTTTCCACCATTTTTATCACCTGTAGGATTAGATTCGGCTATAAACTGTAAAAAATCATACGCTGCGTTTGATAATGATTTTAAACATACTCGTGCATGTACAGATAGACCAGACAGAATGTTTCAAAGTATTCTATAACTTAAAACTTTTTGAAATATAATTACGACAAAATAACTGTCTCAAATTATACAAACGAGTCTATTAAATTGCAATAAATTTAGACCGCGTTATTCGCATCGCCCAAAACTTGTTTTAAAGTCAAAAGTTGTCAAAGTTATAAATAAACGACTATAACATCGATCTTTTGAAGGCGTTATTTTACTTGTAAATACAATTTTCAAAGGAAATTAGTTATATTTAGGTTCTATATTGAATAATTTCTTTGGATTTCGGTAAACGATGCTTTAATCGACCGCTTATTCGCTTATGATACATTAATATTTCGATACTTTCCATTGTTTTACTTCAAATAATCTGCGATTGCTAATTTCAGATCTAACATCTGGTCTCTCTGGTCATTTATTAAAGCGTTTTTTTTTTAAATCTTTGTTGAACATCTGTGTTCACATTGTTCACATTCTGAGAAAAAAATTGTTTCTAAATCGAATGCAAGATATTCACTTTTTACTTAGGAATATTAGAAAACATTTATACTTCTTATGTATGGATTTAACATTACCCTCTATTTATTTTTAAATATTATGTATAAAAACATATTCGTACATATAATTATTATACGTGGTAGAGACACGCTGCAG